GCCGGTTTGTAATCGACCGTCCGCCGAAAGCTGCTGCGGAAAAACTTGCCAAAGTCAGAGCGCGAAGCTCTCAAAAGACTGTACAATAAGTGCGGAACCTCCTTCCATGAGCAGAGCGCCTTCGCCCGTACACCCGAGATCCCGTTCACTTCTCGGCACTTTTGGGGGTACCGCGTCCCCTGCCCCTGCCCCGTGGTGGGCGCTCCGGTCGGTCTCCTTGGCTGTTGCTGTGACTGCCGGGGGCACCTCCATGACGGCGCTTGGTGAGCGTTTCTTCGTCTCGCAATTTGGCTATCACGGCCGCACACCAGGTGGGGTGTGCCAACCTGGTGTGGGCACAATCGGCTCGCAGCTGACTCATCATCGCATCCTTGGCGCGCCATTCGGCGAAAGGCGGCATCAATAACTGAGTCAGCTTCCACGCGGCACCCCAGTTCTGATCCAAGCGGTACTGTTCGATCGAAGCTAGCAGAAGGAGAAGAATCAGATGGGCTTTCTCGCGGTGCCCAGCCCGCAACATTGTCACAGCGCGAGCGATGCCCCACGTGGCGTAGCCCAACGACTTTTCGTGCCCCATGGGCAACTCCTCTTTCACATATTTTTCGACCGTCATCACACTCGGACTGGACTCTCCGAGGGTATCGGCAGCTAGGGCTTCTATTGCCGTTATGTAAGCAGCTGGCTGTTGCTCCATGGCAACCTTGAGCCTCTCCAGCAACAGCGAGCCCTTGGCACCAGATAACTTCCGCAAAGGATCCTCCGTGGCCGCCTCGTTGTCGGACTCCGAGCCAGACTGGCTCAGAGGCAACCCTGGGCCTTTGGACCGCTTTTTGGCTTTGCCACCACCGCCAAGCGCCTTCACCAAAGCCATCTTCAGCAACTGGTCTGTGGACATGTCGCCGTCGACGGCCTCCTCGTTGTCCACGCTTGCGTTGCTTCCTGCTCCCTTGGTGCGAGGCGGAGGCGACACTCCTCCCGGTAGATGTCTGGCCGGCGGAGGGGGGCCCACTAAGGCCCTTGCTTTGGACAACGCTCCGCCACAAGGGGCTGGCTCTGCACTGCCTGTCGATCGGTCCTGCTTCATGACCTCCAGTTCCGCCTGCAGGGCGGTGACCAAAGTGGCTGTAGCCTGCGTCTGCGACAACATCTGCTGCATCAACGCATTCGAAGGAGCCGCCCCAGCATCTTCCAGACCAGTTTGGTACGCCTCGGAGTGTACCAAGTCCTCCTCCACCCAGCTGCTCGTAGTTCAGGACCTGCGTCAGGGCATCCTCCGCATGTGGCCAAATGGCGTTGACGGGCCATGCTGTCCCTCCACTAAACAGATGACGGTAAAGAGGCTGAGGCCAGTCAACCA